AACCCGAATAAAAACGAGTAGTTAGGAGCCAACTAAATGCTCACAGACAAAAGAGGTAAACATTGCTGGATAATATGGAGCACACTCTCATGCCCCTCCTCGACTATGGAGGCTTGCTTGAGTTCGAAACGCTAAGGCAATCGGCACTCGATTCTTGGGTTTGATTCTTCCCACGTACTTTCGCCGTTGACTAACCTATTACACCCCCCCCTCTCTCTCTATCAACTGAAACTGAGTTTTGTTACTCAGCCTGTGCAGTGTCGCGTGACTCTCCCAGGAGGAAATCACTGCCGAAATCCTAAGCCAAAAATAGATGTAATAGATTTGCAAACGAGCCCAAACAGAGACCGACTCTAAGCTAGAAGTCGATGCGCCGAAGGCACATTCACCCAGCAGCACATTCTTAAATCCCATCATGACAACTAACGACTGTCGACTGCTGGCTTTGATATATCATTTGTTTTGGTTCCTTATGAGCCTTCGAGGCAAACAAAAGGGCAATGTTGTGATAAAGACTAATTATTGGTCCGTCCCTTGCCTGGGCTCTGATTCACAATTTCTCCAAATTCTTTGAGATCAGTTCTGGCGCCAGACTGCGTTATTGACTAAACCTTGCGCTGTTTAACGGTATCAAATGTGCGCCGTGGCACCGGCTTACTTATCTCGACGGCGCTGACGATATTACCCTGAAGGTAAAATCTGTTTTGACTATAGGACGCAGTTTCGGATATTTTAAGCCGCATCCACTAACAGGGCGAAAAGGAGAGTCTTCTCCAGTTGCATTACTGACAAAACAAGGCATTCCCTGTTAGTCCTCAAAATAAAGTGGTTCGAAACAGTTTGTTCTGAAACTGTATTTGGTGATCGGTTCAAGAGAGATCTCGAAACATCAGAACAATAAATACCGGATCCCAGTGATCTGATTTTCTTCTGTTGTTTTGAAATTTGCGAGATAATTTGCTGAAAAATGGCTAGGGCAAAGATAGCGTCGTCAGCTGTATCAATGACAATCGCAGAGTTCTTATTATTAGGAGGGGTTTGGCAGATTTGAATAATTCCATTGACTCAACTGTGAAAAATTCGTGGCCTCAGTGGGACTGGAACCCACATCAACAGAGAAGGCTTTAGTATAGCCAACGCTTTACTAACTGAGCCGTAAATTTAATCACACTTGGGTCGGTTCACCCGCTCAGCCTATTGCACGTATAGAATCCATCAATAGAGTGAGCTGACTGCGCAGGCAAAGTGGTTGCACCCCTTCCAGGGTGTCAATGGCCTTATC